CGCTTTGTCGATGGCGACATGATTTCTTTGAACGCGGCAGCGACATCATGAATTTGTATGAGTTTGACATAAAAGAAGAGGAAGAACCTTATCTGTCGCCAGAAAAATAGAAATAGATCTAATCTGGCCACAACCACAGCCGTCGCGTAGCCCGGTCGTCGCCAAAATAATTATCTACATAAGAGTACGTGTTAAAATAATTTGACAGCTGTGGTTTGTAGCTCGTCGTGTTCATTGTGTTCGGGCTATAAGTATTCTGTGAACCTTGTAATTTTTGTTATGTGGCAACTTTGTGAACCACGATTCCTTTTCGAATTGGCATTCGTTGATTCAAAGCCGATAGAGACGGAACCGTGGTAAGTGAATTCTAGAAAACTGATGTGAAATTATTCTGTATCCTTAATAAATATATGTCATTTGTTCTTACACAGAAATAAACAATATAAATCCACGCAATGCGATGCAATGCATAACAAATGTGTGAGTTTAATTTTTGCAGTCTCTGAAGAATCAACATCTTTATTTCGCGTCCTGTATTCATTTTGCATTTCGTGAATTTTCGTGCTGCCATCTTCGTTTCGTCAGCCATTTTGGGAGTTAATTTCGTATAATGACAGAGCGCACGCCACCACGTAGAAGTCCTCGTTTACTTATGAATTCAAATAAGTCTGCTACCAACGATTCTGTCGCCGATAACGCAGCCAGCGTTGATGTAGTGCAGAATAAGGAAGATAGCACCAGCCAAGAGCAAGACGCTAGCCAGGCGCCTCAAATTCTGAATACACATGTAGCATACACTGCAAATGCCGCCGCAGTACCCGAGTGCCTGGACAATTCGGAACGAGAGGATAGTATTGTTAAAGCTCTTCAGCAACAGATTCTTGCATTGGAGAATAATCTTAAAAACTTTCAGGTAAAATTTACTGAAAGTGAACTTCAGAAGGAAGCGCTAAAGATAGCACTTCAAAATGCCTCAAATTCCGGGAATACAATAGCAGTTTCTGACTCCTTGTCAGTTGCGCCACCTGCTAGTTCAAGTATAACTTATGCAAGGCCCACTGTGTGTTATACCGCATTTCCTGCTGATGGTCCATATGCCAACAATGCCGGTGTATTTCATTCAGACACACATACTAGCAAGGTTCTTGGTTCCCATGCCAGCACACTTGCGGGACCATATGTGCACACAGCCGCTGGGCCATATCCACCAAATCGTATTACGCCTGCCGTCATCAGTGATGATGCAACCAACACGACTTCTTTTTTGTACGCGACCGCCCAGCCTACGGCCAGCACAATGTGTGGACCGTCTTATGGTCCCACCACCGCTGGAACTTATTCCAGTGTTGCCGCCGCCTCAAGTACGCCTTCATATAATCTTACTGCTGTCGGACACCATGAAAGCAAAGCCCCTGCTACGTGCGCAAGTGCTACCTCTGCTGCGCATAACGTCGGCGCCAACAATATTACTGCTGTGCCTATGGCTGTCCCTGTCACACATCCGCAATGGTATTTTGCCAATGGTGCGACTTGTCAAGCCGCTAACGTCCCTCAGCAATCAATGAGAATTCCAGAAGTACGATCAACGTCTTTTGCACGATTCCGTCTACATTTTCAACGGGGTATAACCCGTTGGGTGCATACACGCCTGGTTTAACGCATGCAAGTATTGGTAGCCTACCATCAAACGGAGTAATGGTTCTCCGTAAATTACAAGATTTGCCTGAATTTAGTGGCCACGCAGAAGACTGGCCAATATTTTTCACGGCATTTCAGCAGTCCACAAACGCGTACGGGTACAGCAACCTTGAAAACAACCAACGGTTGCAAAAAAGCTTGAAAGGAGAGGCCCGAGACACTGTCAAATCGTTGGTAGTAGGTAACATTATAGAACAACTGCGTTTTCGCTTCGGTCGACCAGAGCAGCTAATTCGAAGTCAGCTGTCACAACTGAGGGAAATATCACCTATTTCTGAAAGTGGTATTGTAAATTTAGTACCATTCGCTACCACGGTAAAAAATCTCGTAGCGTTCCTGCAGTCAGCAAATGGATACCTGCATCTTACTAACCCATCACTGATAGAAGAGCTTGTCAGCAAGTTACCAATGAGCAAGAAGCTTGAATGGGCCAGATACTTGTCAACAGTACAATCGCATGCAACCGTAGTCCACTTCAGCGATTGGTTAACACAGATTGCGAATTTGATTTGCTGTGTGCAGGATTATGAAAGTCGCGAGCCATCAAAACGTCGGACCGTGTTGCATGCAGTAGAAACGCAGAGTGAATGTTTTGATGAGAAACAGCAAAATCGTGCGGTAGAAAGACCACACACACCGTCGTTGAAATGTGCTGTTTGCCAAAATTCACACAAGCCAGTAGAATGCCAACGTCTCCTTGAAGCAACATCAGCTGATAGATGGAAGGTAGTTAAACGCAGCCGCCTGTGCTTTTCATGCCTCAGCCCAGGGCACACAACTCGAGAATGCCGCCGCCGTAAACCGTGCCACATCGATGGGTGCCAAAGGATGTACCATAAAATGCTTCATGATAACGATCAAAAACAAATGCAGCCCGCAAAATCCGTATGCGCGTCTCCGGCACAGCCACTTGATGTTGACAAGAAGCCGGTTCTGAGCTGCTCCAGCAGCGCAAACGAGCGTAAGCTATTGTTTCGCATACTGCCAGTAACTCTACATGGCGGAGGAAAAACCGTTGAAACGTATGCGTTATTCGACGAAGGATCGTCTGTCACATTGGTTGACAGCACGATCTCCCAGAAATTGGGTCTAAATGGCCTGAAGCGAAGCTTCAACCTACAGTGGTATGGAGGAAGAGCAACTCAGGAACCAACCGTAGTGGTGGACTTGTTCGTCAGTGGAACTGGCATGAAGAAGAAACATAAGCTTCGAAACGTTTACAGCGTGTCAAATTTGAACTTGCCCACGCAGAGCCTGAGCGAAGCAGACCTACGAAGTTCTTCACGCCATAAGCAGAAACTACCACTGGAGCCATACAGTGGAGCAGTGCCAAAGCTTCTGATAGGACTTGACCATTGCCATCTGGGCATACCTGCTGGGATCATGCAAATTAATTGTATCGGGCCGTACGCTGCCAATACTGAGCTTGGTTGGACCGTGTTTGGGCCAAGGGTGGAAACTTCATCTAGCACGCAAGTATGTTTGTTTACGAAGCCAGCTTCAGATCAAGCGATGCATGATATGATTGCAGAATACTTCGAAACTGAGAGCTTCGGTGTAAAGCCATTCCCGCCGGTTGAAAGTGCGGCTGACCTGCGCGCAAAGGCAATTTTGCATTCAACAACACGCCGAACAAACGGTCGATATGAGACCGGCCTATTATGGAAGTATGGCGATATTGAGATGCCCGACAGCTAAGAAATGGCGCGAAAACGATTGATAAGCATAGAAAAGAAAATGCAGCGTGATGACAACTTTGCAAAAGTCTACAAGCAAATCATCAACTCATATGTTTCTAAAGAGTACGC